CTTGTGATTGGTGTCAGCAGGTCACGGACATTTAAACTGTTTCCAGTGGATGACTCCAGCCCTCGAAGCTTGTACAACAGTCTAGTCTTTACTTCTTTATTATTTAGCTAAAGTTTTTAATTGACTTTGCATTCCTCAAAGCCCAAAGCTGTAGAGCATCACATCTAGAAGGTCTTTTCTCTAGAAATTAACTATTGGCCCCTCTTTCCTTCCCCAGATTCTGTTCCTGGACATTTGGATGAAATTATTGTAGGGGCGGAAAAAAGTTTTCCCTGTATCTGCTCAGGTTCAGTGAGGGTGGAGGCTGAAAATTAAATTGACAAAAGACAAATTAGCAAGAGGGGAAAAAAACCCGTCGTTTATATGTATAACATGCAAACATGTAAAAGTACTGAGTGATAAGTAACTCAAAACGTGATTAGAATTTGGAGCTTATACTGTACACCATTTTAACAAAGGCTGATAAATTGTGGAGAAAGAACTAGTCAAAAAAAGGGGGTCTGGGCTTCAATGGGTGATAAATTGTAAGAAGGTGACTAGGAAATATATAGGGAAAATAATGGTAAATAAAGGTTTTTTTAGGCAGACTCATTTCAGTACCATCTCTGGTGATAAGACTTATACCATGTACTACTCTTTCCGGGACGGGAGAGAGGGACACCTTTACAAGCGCAAATTTTCTTTCCAAAAGATAAGTTTATGTCCTGCTATTAGGCCTGTAAAAGAAGATAGAGAGCTCCTCCCATGTCTGCTGTTTCTCAGTTACTTTTAGCTGAAAATAATCCTTACGCCAAAGTAGCATATTTTGGGGAGGCGTATGCTGATCCCCTCATTATCTTGCTTTTTTAAGTCTAGAAGTTAACTGAGAAAGTGTGCACTTAGACTGTCTCTTATGTCCCTCCCTCCCCGCATGTGGGAATAGGTAGCAGAAAGGGCCCATTTAGGGCAGGTACTCTAGCTGGTAACTCTTTGTTGGACTGAATGAATGAAATCAGTTGATTAAAACTGCTGGTCCTCTTTTGGGGGTCTTCACAGTGGACATATGAGAAACTCTTGTCATGGTATAGGTGGTGCAGAAGGGAAAAGAGAGACCCTTCAGGTTTGCAGGCATAGGAACTTACCTGCACCCATTTACTAAGAGGTGATCAGGTTCTTGGGGATTTGATAGTAAAGCAAGTCTAAAATATTATTTATAAACCAGATTCCTTTTCATTTGTTCATTTGTAATTCGGAATATGCTTTTTCAATGACTAGATTACTCTCATCTACCTACAGGGTACATCCGTCCCCGGTATCAAGGGTGAGGGGAAGTCGAATGAATAATCAGAAGTTTGCTTGGTGAGTACACAGTCTAAATTATGAGAATGTTACAGTTTTATGGGAAATTTTAATAGATCTGTGTTATAACAAAATAGAATTATTTCTGTTCCTCTGTAGAGCAGTAGTTTTCAACAGGTGTGCCTCAAGAATTTTTAAAACATGTAATACCTGACTATTTCTCTTAGATTGTGAAATAAAAAAATGACAACAGCCAAAACAACAGTAGCCATCTGGGGTGAATGAATCAAGATGATACCTATTTTTTTGGGGGGGAGGGGGTCGGGTCAGCAAAAAATACAATGTATTTTTGGCGTGCTGTAGAATTTTAGTAATTAGTTTGTGTGTGCTATGAAATGAAAAAGTTTGAAAGTCCATCTACAGAGAATGTGTTTCTACTAACTGAATTTCGTTGTCTCCCTTTCCTTTGAAAAATTCCTTTCCAGCCAAAACTCTTTACTCACTAAAAACTGAATGTAATATTTTTTTTTCATAACAGATATATTTCCCAGGATTGTCAACTGTTACATTTTTAAAAAATGTTTCTCCTTTTTGGAAAATACTGTAAGCTTTTCAAGTGGGATTTCAGCAATAATTTAGATTTTTCTCAGGCACCAACTTCTACCTCATAGTAAAGTAATCTATATATATATAAAAGCCTAAGTGATCATTATGATCAGACAACTGGACGACTGGCTGGTAGCTGTGACATGCACTGACCACCAGGGGGCAGACACTCAATGCAGGAACTGCCCCCTGGTGGTCAGTGTACTACCACAGCCAACCTCCTGTGGTCCCTACTCTCAGTTGGCCGGCCCCCATTGGCCCCGATCGGCCCTGATCGCCCCAGATCGCCGGCCAGGCTGTGGGACCCTACCCATGCACGAATTCGTGTACTGGGCCTCTAGTCTATTATATTAATTTTGCTGATTATTATTTAGATGTGTGTGTTTTTCTGACTAGGCTTTAAATATCCAGGGATTTTATTTTTAAATTTGGGAAATACAAATATCTTCTTTCACTGACCAGCTTTTGAACAGAAATATAGATGGAAATTATCAGAAATGATCTGAAAAGTTAGTTCAACCACAAATCATTGATTGATTCTATAAAGAAGCGATTTAAGATGTTTTATAAATTTTTTATGTGAAATAAAAAATTAATTAATTAATGTGGGTTTAAAATCCATTATGTTCACATTAACTACTCCATTGCACAAAATTACTCTTTCTAAATGTAATGTACCTTCATAAAAGAAGGAAGGAAAGAAGGATTGATTGAACTTGAACTGTGTACTGTTTACTTCAGGAGTGAGTGAAAAGGCACAGGTATCCATTTTTACTTCACTGAATTGTGCTTAGGATGAGATTTTGATTAAAATCATGGCTTTTTTTTTTAAGTATGGGAAGATGATTACTGAAGCTTCAGCTTCCAAATTAATTTTATTCCTAAATCAGGATTATTTTTAGACACATAGTAATGATTCTTTGAATTTGAATGGTGTCTAATCAGCTCACCTCCCTTCCCCCCTTAAATTGAATTAACCCTCACAATAGCTTGGTGATGTTGTTAAATATTATGCTTTTCTTTATTCACAGAGAGGGAAATGGAACACAGATGATGCAGCTATTTGCTTACACACTGTCTAAAAGCTGGGGCCTCCTACATGCTTTCTCACGGTCACTAAAGCACATTGTCCCCTGTCCAACCTAGGAAGCTGAGGGGAAAATAGCGCTGATGGTCATTACATATAAGAAAAGGGAGAAACCGGGGCTTTTCCTGACTTCACGGAATTGATATTCCTTCTCAGCACACAGCATATTGCACTAAAGAAACTTTATTACGTGTAGAGACTATGAGATGCTCAAGTGAGCAATGTAAGTTAATGGCTAGAGTGCAACAATGTCGGTTATGAGATCCATTTTCTACAACCTATTTTACTAATTGTGGAACATTGAGTAAATAACAAATACTCTTTCCTTCACTTTTTCTTCCCAGAGGATTAGAGTAATGATCACTCATTCCTACATAACTTACAGCACATTATTCGGTTAGTAAGTTCAAACCACTTTTATCTCCTGAGAAGTAAGCCATGAAAAACAGAAAAGATTTTTACTATTAGTCTTGATAAAACTACAATTCAACTTTTATTTATTCAGCAGTTTTATTTACTGTCCCTGGCTTTGTGCAAGGCACTAGGTTAGCAAGATAAATAAAGCTAAATGGTTTCTGTTTTCAAGGGGCTCACTGTCTTGTAGGGTGTGTGTGTGTGTGTGTGTGTGTGTGTCATCACACATGTAATACACAATATTAGATGAAGTCATATGAACAACACATATAAAAATTCTCTCAGGAGATATATTCATAGTATAATGTGCAGAGGGAAATATTATCAACTCTATTTAATACTAATTTGAGAGTAGGTCATGAGGAGGGAGAAAGTATAGAAGAAGGAAGGGGACTGTGAGAAAACCCATCCTGGAGAAGGTCTTTGAGTAAAGACCCAGAATTGGTAGGAAAAGCAGAGGGTTGAGGTAGTGCCTTCTTTATTAATTGAAAAACATTTACAAGGACCTGGAGACATTTCTGAATGAACTATAGTAGGAGCATTTGGCCATGTGCTTCATTTGGTCATGAGCTAGTTTGCATTCCTAGTGTATGTACTACCTTGAATGTTCCTTAAGTAAACGCTGCGAAGCTGGTCCATGGAAATAAATCACCCAGCTGGGACGAAGCCAGTGAATCACCCAACATCTACCTCTGGCCAACTGATAATCACTCACTGTTTCTGTGTGAAATATTGGCTCTGAGAGTTCAGGAAGTTTAAATGCTCATGCTCAGCAAGGGAGATGGAGGAAAAGTGACCCTTGCTCTCCCCCAAATAAAAGTGTGGGGTAATTTATAGAGTTAGATGTGAAGTTCAACACCAGCTTGGCTCCGGATTGAGTGAGATCTGCAAACACTCTCATGTGAGTGACTTAGGTGATTTTTGTGAAGTGGAATTAGCAAATAAATGCTTTATTCAGGTAAAAAAATGGTGTTCATCAAACAAGAAATTAAACCCCAGGAAAAGATGAAAAGGCTGGAATTTGTAAGTTAGGGATAGAAAATGCATGACAATTGGCAGGTTGCAAATGTCAGTGGCTGTGGTTGAGCTATCAAACCAGTGTTTATCATTGAGTAAAGATGGTTTAAAAGTTTAAGTGGTGTTTTTCTTGACAAAATGTTAATGTGAGAGGCGGCATCCACTGGCCTCATTTCCTCTGGAGATGAAGAAATGTGTGGAAAAGGATTTCTGTTCAAGGCAAACAAACCTGCTGGAATGGAAAGACGATGTAACAAATGTGTGTATCCAGGGAGAAGATGAAAGCACCGCATGTAAGGGGTCCAAACAGATGTTAGGGTGGAGCCAGGTTGCTGTAACTACCTGCTAACTCCCAGGGATTAAAGAATGGCAATAAGAACTTCTGTCAGAATATATTAGCACCCCAGCAAAGAACACGGGGTCATCGCACAACTACAGTCCCTTAAAGGCAGCAACCCCCGTCAGACATAAACTCTCCATCAGAATGGCTCTCCCCTCACAGCCAGCCCACAATACTTACACTTCTTGATTTGAGGATTCATAAAGCCTTTGAAGTTTAGCATATGAATTTCCTTCTTTATTTCTTGAGTCATATCTCTCCTCTTCCCTCCAACATTGGCCCTCAGAGTTGATCACACCTTCCTTTGTCCAGTAACTATATAAACTTTTTTAAAGATCATTTGCCACTCTCTCTTGCATGTGGTAATGCCAGGAAAATATTTTGCTCCATTTGAGGCAACTTGGGGGGAATAGGGCAAACATTATTAGAGAGTTGGATAGGCAGATACACTTTTGTTCTTTACAGATCTTTTTGTATAAGGCTATTATATTCTGATATCAAACCCACATAAAGTAGCTGTTTTCGAGTCATCTTTTAGCTGTCTTATCCCCGAAGATATAATAGAAACTTGGACCCCATGTTTGGTGGGAGCAAGACAGGGAGGGGCTGAACTGAACATTGAAGTTAATTTAAGGCTCCAAAATTCTCTAGATCAGTGTATTCTGAAGACATCCATATTAGCATGCGCTTGTTTTTAGCTTTTTACCCTTTCTTCCCTCCCCTGCATTTCTAGAACCCTTCTACCCTGCTTCATCCTTTAAACTTTTAAAGGACGGGCATATATTATTTTTGATGATGGTGGTAATAGTAGCTGTGCTCTGCACTCGGAACATCCATCTAGAGCTATTATGTAACAGTGGTAGTGGGTGTTACATGATAGAGACTTTATGGGCAATGTACATGATGACATAGAAAATAAAGTGTTGTTAATAGGAATTTTCATTAGAAAATAGAAGTAATTTTCTCTAACCAATTGGATGCTGCCATTATTAGTCTCAATTATGATTTATTTCTTACCCACATGCCTGCAATGTTATGCAGCTGTATACACAAAGAGGCTCCAGTTTTGAATAGAGTATCAGTGCAAATGATGACACATTCTGGGTGTGAATCACATATCACATTTGGATGTGATAAAGTTCTGTGTTGCAAATCTTGGTGGAGGCCACTGACGTTTTATGGTGGGAGATGGAGTGCCACAATGAACTTAAATATTTAATGCATACAGTTGCAAATGTTAGGCATGACTTCATAGACTCCTTCTGGAAAATATAACTAGTAGAAATCTTTGTCATAAAAAAAAGAACAGTCATTCTTGTTTAAAGGGTCTCCTTAAAAGAGGCAAGCACTGAAGTCATTGATATTGGAAGAAACCTCTCAGAAAGCTGATGAAGAGCTAGCCCTTTAAGGAGAGACGTAGCATTCCCAAATGTAGTCGTTATCAATTTCCGAGCTGTAGAAGAGATGTCAGCATCATTGGGTTCAGCTCAACTCACTTTCCAAAATGTAACATGTCACCAGGGGGCATCAACCCAGGCTTTTGCACACTGGCCAGTCATCTTTCTGCTACTCAGCAGTTACCTACTGTTGGAGAAA